TCATGCACGTGGGCGGAGAGGTGGATGTCAGGTGGGTGAGGGCCGTTTTGGGGGGCTGGGGCACTTTTGGGGAGCCAGTGCTGGGAGCTGGTGATGATTTTGGGAGCCGGTATCGTTTTGGGGAGCTGGTCCCATGGTGATGAGCTACTTTGGGGTGCTGTAGCACGGGGCTGGTGTCAGCAGCTGGCGCTGTTTTGGGGAGCCAGTGTAATTTTGGGGAGCCAGAGCTGCAGCAGGGAGCGGGTGCCGCATCCCTGCGTGCCCTTTTCCCACATCCCTGAGCACCATTTTCCCGCAGGAGTGCCTACTGTGCCGCCTCAGTGGCCTCACTGACCAACATCCTGACGCCCGCGCTCTTCTCCGGGACGGCCGAGTGGATCGCAAGGTGAGATTTGGGGACGGGGGGAGCACACGGGACGGCATTCCTGGCGCCGGTGCCACCCTGACCCTGCTCCCACAGGTGCCAGAACTGGGAGGGCGGGATCGGCGGCGTGCCGGGCATGGAGGCGCACGGCGGCTACACCTTCTGCGGCATGGCCGCGCTGGTCATCCTCCAGCAGGAGCATCTGCTCAACCTCCGGAGCCTGCTGGTGAGTGATCCCTGCCCGGGGTATAGGGTGTCCCATCCCACTGGCGATCCCTGATCCCACACTGGCTCCGATCATCCCGCAGCACTGGGTGACCGGGCGGCAGATGCGCTTCGAGGGCGGATTCCAGGGCCGCTGCAACAAGCTGGTGGACGGGTGCTACTCCTTTTGGCAAGCCGGGCTCCTGCCCCTGCTCCATCGGGCACTCCATGCCAGGGGTGAGTTGTCATGGGCTTCCTGTGCTCCCCAGAATGGCATCTCCAGGGATTTGACACCTCCTCCTGGTGTTTCTCCTCCGTGTTTCCTCCCAGGTGACACAGCGCTGAGCATGGCGCACTGGATGTTCGACCAGCTGGCGCTGCAGGAATACATCCTCCTGTGCTGCCAGTGCCCGGCCGGGGGGCTGCTGGATAAGCCAGGAAAGTGAGTGATGGGGGGAACACGGGGCTGCCCAGCCCCCCAGGCTCCCCCTCAGCATCCCAATATGTCCCTACGCGCAGATCCCGGGATTTCTACCACACCTGCTACTGCCTGAGCGGGCTGGCCATTGCCCAGCACTTCGGAAGCGGAGACCTCCACAACGAGGTGGTCCTGGGTATCCCTGAGAACTGCCTGGTAGGTGCTGGACATTGCTGGGGTGGGCAGGGCTGAACTTCCAGGGCTCCACAGCGCCGGGAAATGCGGATCCGATGGAGGTAGAGAGAGCTGGGATTCAGCCTGGAGAAGGGAAGGCTCCAGGGAGAATTTAGAACCGCTTCCAGTGCTTAAAGGAGCTCCCATAGAGCTGGAGAGGGGCTTTGGACAAGGGCTGGGAGTGACAGGATAAGAGGGAATGGCTCCAAAGTGAAAAAGGGGAAATTTAGATGGGATATTGGGAAGAAATTCTTCCCTGTGAAGGTGGTGAGGCTCTGGGACAGGTTGCCCAGAGAAGCGATGGCTGCCCCATCCCTGGAGTGTCCAAGGCCAGGTTGGACAGGGCTTGGAGCAACCCGGTCTGGTGGAAGCTGTCCCTGCCCACAGTGGGTTGGACTACACGATCCTCAAGCCCCTTCCCATGCAAACCCCTTCAGAATTCCATGACTAACCTCTTCCATCCCTCTCTCTCTCCCACAGCAGCCCACGCACCCCGTCTACAACATCGCCCCAGAGAAGGTGGCGAGGGCAGTGATGCACTTCCTGCAGTATCCCGTGCCCAGCCTGGATCCGGCACCTGCTGCCGACTAGGGGGGGTTGTCCCGCTGCCGCCTGGGGGTCCCGCGGCCCCGGAGTGTGCGGCCCAGCCCAGCCCATCCCGTGGCGTGGTGGCCTGGCTGGCACAGCGAGGTCCTCAGGGTGCTAGCAATACCAAAACCCAGCCTGCCCCGGGCCGCGCGTCCCGCTGCCATCCCGGCCGGAGCCAGGTGGGACACGGGCTGCGGCAGAGCTTTTTGGCATCAATAAACCAGAAGTGACACCCTGCCGTGTGCTGGGGGCCCTGGGGACACGGGGCAGGAGGTGACACCGTGTCTGGCTCTGGTGGCACCACTTCCCTCATTCCGAGAACACGCGGTGACCACAGGGGAAGATAAATTAAGTGGAATTTTGGCTTTTTTTTTATTATTTATAGTCTTATAGTAAAGGGAAGCCTTAACTTGCAAGACAACTCTGGGCAGTATGTACAACATACCTTAAATCCATGGAATGGCATCAAAATGGGGGGAAAACGGGCACCTACGGGGCAGGGACGGGCCACTGGAGTTTGGATAATGCCACGGAGGTGGGAAGGGGCCAAAGGAGGGGAAAAGGAGGAGGAGGAAGAGGGGGGGGACAGGACCCCCCAAGCCCGGCTCTGTACCAGGTCGTGCTCCGCCGACTCGGGCAGGTGGAGTTTGCACACGGAGAAAATAAATAGGGAGACCCCCCCCCAGTGCTTGCTCCCTTTTTTTGGGGGGCTGCCCGGCTCCTCCCCGCTCCGGACTGCGCTGGTCCCCGGCTATAAATAGAAATGCTCCTATAAAACCAGGAGGGACAGGGGAGGGGGGTCACTAGCAGGGGGGGCAGCAATAGGGAGGTCTCCCTGATCCCCCCCCAAGTCTTTCGGCTCGGCCTGGCCGGCTCCCCCTGGGGCCGGCGTGGTAGGAGCAGGGAAAGGGCCGGGGAGGGCTGGAAAGCTGCAGTCCGAGAGCTTCTAGGAGCGGAGGGAGCGAGTCCTGCCGCGGGCCGGGGGCCGCCGGGGGGGCCTAACTGGCCTCCATGCGCAGCTTCTTCCTGCTCTGCGGCTCGTCGGGCTCCGAGTCGGAGCTGGAGTCGGAGCCGCCGTCGAAGGCGGAGATGGCGCTGCCCTTGGGGTTGGTGTAGAGGCTGTTGTCCGCAGGGTAGCTGGCCTGGAGCTGGGCACTGGAGCGGGCCTTCTCCAGCGCACGCACTGCGGGGACGGCACGGTCACCCTGCGCCCGGCCCCCGGGATCACAGCTCCTGCCACACCCCAGCTCCCATGGGATCCCGCATCATGGCTCCTGCCACACCCCAGCTCCCACCAGCTCCTGGATCCCAACCCCTGCTGGACCCCAGCTCCTGGGCCCCAGACCCTGCCAGACCCCGTCTCCAATCGGATCCCAGCTCCCACCTTGCTGCTCCAGCAGCGCGTTCTGCCGCTTGAGGTCGTCGATGTCCTGCTGGTGTGTGTGGTTTTTCCGGCGCATGTACTGGATGTACTCTGTGGCTTTATCCAGGATTTGGGCCCGGGATGCCTGTTGCAATAGTGGGAAAAGCCAGAGGCAAGATAAAGACCTAGTCCAGTGGGAAAACCATGGGATTTCATCTGCCTCATCCCACCCTGGCTCCACAGCCTGGCTCTGGTCTTCACTGGGGACTCCCATGGTGGGACAGAGCCTTGGGAATGTCCCAAAACACGAAGCCTGGACTCTGGGTGGGCATGTGTCCGTGCTCCCAGCACGCTCCATAAACTCACCTTCTCTCCCTGGAGTGAGGGCACGGAATCCCGCAGGCTGTGGAAGCTGTCCTTGATGTGGTCCCTGCGCTTGCGCTCCAGCGCGTTGTGATGAGCCCGTTTGTCGGCCTAGGAGGGGGGGACAGGGGTGGCACTGGAGGGGGCCGCCACCTGCACCCGCAGAATTCCTTCTGGGAAGCGCTGTGGGAGCCCGGCTGCGCCCCTGGGGCGGCTCCGCGGCCGTGACGCCGCCGGCTTAGCCGCGAGGGCGGGGAAGGAGGCGGCTCCCGGTGCTTTCGGTTTTCCCGGCTTCCTGCTGCCGGGGCAGCCCCGGGCTCCGGAGGGGGGATAAAGCACCTTCGCCCTGGAACGTGGTTTCCCCCCACCAAAACAACCAGGCACAAGCCCCCCTCTGCCAACCCCATGTACAGTACACCCCTCCAATACTCCCCAAATACGGCCCCACGCCCCCCTAAAATGACACAGCCCCACACATTCTCCCCCCCAGGCCCCCCCATTTTACCCCAAAAGACCCCGCACTCCTCCTGCCCTAAAGAGCCCCAGATCCCTCTCCACAAGTCCCGCAACCCCACTGGCGACCCTCCCCATAACATTCCCATCCCCGCAGGACACCCCCAAACCCCTTTTCCCCCACAAGACTCCCGGCCCCGCAGATCCCCCTGTGTGTCACAGCTCCCGGCAGACCCCAGCCCCAAACGTGTGTCCCCTCCCAAGAAGAACCCCAACCCCACACGACATCCCCAAACCCACCCTCCCTCTCCCCAAGACCCCGCTCCCCCCGATCCCCTTCCGTGTCACCCCCTCCCAAGATCCCCCCCCCACACTCCCACCCACGTGCTCCCGATCCCGGGGGGGGCTGCGGAGGGGGCCCCCCAGCGACCTACCGCGGACTGGAACCTCGGCTGCTCCTCCTGAGGAGCCCCGACCCAGGTGACGAGGAGGAAGAAGAGGAAGAGGAAGAAGATGGTGGAGGGGGGGGGCGCCGCCATATGAGGGAAGAACACACACAAACCAAACGTTACCCCATTCCCAGCGCTCTTAGGGCGGGGAACGGCTGCGGGGGGGGGTTACCGCGGGGCTGTCCCGGGACCGGGGACCCAACTCACGTCGCTCTCCACCTCGATGTCATCGTTGTCGCTCATCGCTCCCGCCCGGGTGAAGCCGCGGGCCGCGCCGCCACAACAACAGCCCGCACCGCGCATGCGCGGGGGGGCGCTGCGGGCAGCAATGGCGCCGGGCGGCGCGAAGGACCACGGGAGTTGTAGTTTGGTGTGGAGCGGAAAGAGCTTCTTCCGGCGCGGGACTACAGCTCCCGGCGCACAGCGCGTTGCACGCCGGGAGTCGTAGTCCCGGCTTATAAAAAGGCGTTGAGGGGGCAGCGCGCGGCCTCGGATGGAGGAGGTGAGCGCGGAACGGGCGGAGGGAGGGGATTTATTGAGGGAAAAGTGGGGTGGGAGGGCTCGGGGTTGCGATGGAGGGGGGGCGGTCTATGAGGCCAGCATGGGGGTTGCAGACTTAGCAGGGGGAGCTGTGGAGTCGGTCCGGGGGGGCTGCAGGTCTGCCTTGGGGGCTGCAGGACAATGGCAAGGGGGGCCCTGCAGGTTTAGCAAGGGGGGCTGTGGCCCTGGTCTGTGGGTCTGCCCAGGAGGATACAGGGTTGCCCGGGGGGGCTGTCGGCCTGCCTGGGGGGGGCTGCAGGGTTGGGCTGGGGTGCTGTGGTTCTGTCTGAGGGGCTGCACCCCAGCTTAGGGGACTGTGGGCACGACCTGCAGGGCCGCGGGTCTGCCTGGGGGTCTGTACCACAGTTTGGGGGTCTGTGAGCCTCCCTGGGGGGCTGTAGGTCAATCTGGGGGCCTGTGGACCTGACCGGGGGGCGCTGTGGGCTGCTTTGCTGGGGGGGCTGCAAGCCTGACCTGAGGGGGTTTGGGGCCCACTGGGGGGGGTTTGGGCTTCCCCAGGGAGGGCAATGGCCCCGCTCGGCGCTGAGGGCAGGGCGGGGCCGGGCTGTCCCTATCCCAGCTGCTCCCCGTCCTCTCTGGGCTGCTCGTCCCCGCGGGCAGCCCCTGCCGGGCTCTCCCTGCCGTCCTGCTGCTCCCCGCCGCTCTCGGAGCCGGTCTCGTCCGAGTTGTCCTCCTCCAGGTAGCGGTACCCGCAGGACTTGTGGCGTGGGCGCGGCAGGCGGGGCAGCCGGTATTCCACGCGCCGCGCCAGCTTCCGCTCCATCCACAGGTACGTCCCCACCGCCACCACCAGCGTCAGCAGCAGCATGGACAGCTTGGCCTGCGGCACAGCAAGGTTTGGGATCCGGAGAGCTTGGAACGTCCCAAGGCTGGGCTGGGGCGCACCTGGGGCTCACCTTCATGGGCAGCCCGGACCACAGGTAGACAGCGAAGATGGCCAGGGCCTGCCACCAGTGGTAGATGGTGAAGATGAAGTCTTGGCGCTCCTTGTTCTTGTACAACATTCCCAGGAGAACTGCGGCAGAGACCAGAATCAGCGCCCCCTTCCCGTGCCGTGGTCCCCTTGGCATGGGGGACAACGGGACAACCGCAGTGGGTGTGTCCCGCTGTGCCAGGTTGCGGTGCCAGGGTGAGTGGGGAGAGGATGCGTGGAGAAGCTGGGGGCAGCCAAGGCATTTTGGGCACCGCCAAAGCTGCTTTTGGGACCACTACCGATGATGCTTTGGGGATAACGGAGACATTTTGGGGACCGCCAAGGCTGTTCTGTTTTTTTTCCCACCACTCACTGCTGATTCCAGTCTTGTTGAGGGCGCTGCCCATGCCCCAGAGTGCGGCGACGCTGTAGAGCAGCGGTGCTTGTGCCTGCTGCCGGGGCTCCGGCGCCCAGCAGAAGAGCATCACCAGGAGTCCGGCGTGGATGATGGTCCCAGCCAGGAGCGGGATTTGCCGGCGCAGGCGCAACATGCTCAGGGCCAAGCTGGAGCATGCCGAGGCAGAGAAGCCGTAGGCCATGAGGAGATACGCCAACTTCTCCAGCCCCAGGGTGCACACGCCGTAGTTCTGCAGTGAGGGTGGGCTCAGTGTCACGCAGCCCCGCTCCCTCACCCCCTGCCCCATCCCAGGTCCTACCAGGGAGAATCCGGTGCAGACAAAGAGCACCTCGAAGCCGCTGTAGATGAACAGCGGCAGGAGGTGCTGCAGGCGATAGTCCCGCATGTGCTTGAAGGGCAGCTGGAAGATGTTCCCCCAGCCGATGCTGCGCATGTCGATCTCCTCCATGGGCCGGTACGCGGCGCCGCACAGCACCAGCACCTGCGGAGCGCCCAAGGTGAGGCGCCGCCCTCGCCCAGCCCGGCACCGTCCCCTCCCGCCCGGCGCTCACCACCAGCATGGCGAGGAAGGCGGCGGCCATCAACGCGCTCTCCACGACGATGAGGTTGACGCTGCGGGGCAGGCTCTGCAGCACCGTCTTGTTGAAGCCGGGCAGTGTGCCGTGGCTCAGGGTCCCTGCCGGGGGGGGGACACGCCACAGTTAACCCCAGCGGGGTGGGGGATAGAGGCTCCCGGTGCCACCTCACACCCCCGTGGCCTCACCGCAGTGCTTCACTGCGAACAGCGTGTGGTTGAGCTGGTACAGGTAGTTGTTGAGGAAGAAGACCATGGGCATCTGAGCGCAGACGAAGCTCAACTACGAGACGTAGAGGGAGGGCAGGCTCAGCGCTGCCAGTGCGGCCCCCCAGTCCATCCCGCCCATCCCACCGGCGCTCACGTGGAAGCAGGAGTAGAAGATGGTCTGGAAGATGATGATGTAGGCGTTGCAAGCGTCCCGCGGTGCCCGCACCTTCTCCTGCTCCTCCTTGTAGTTGACATACTCGTAGTACTTCTGGGCCATCCTGCACGGCACAGCAGGTCAGCCGGCACCCCCCGTGCCCCCCGCCCGCCCACCCGATGCCTACCGCGTGATGTAGTTGCCCATGGAGGCCCAGAGGGGCACAATGACCATGCCGATGGCCACAGCGGAGGGCACCAAGGTGTAGTAGCGCTCCCAGTAGTTGCTGGAGACGAAGAGGGCGTAGATGCCCACCGCCAGGAACATGGCCCACTTGGTGCCGAAGAACCTGCCGGGGCAAGGAGTGGGCAGCGTGGGCAGCCGTGCTGGTGTGCCGTGCCAGCCGGGAGCGTGGCGGGGCCGTACCTGATGAGGATGGGTGTGTAGAGCAGCGCCGCCACGGGCGTCACGTTGATGCCCATCAGCACCTTGTGGTCGATGTCCTCCAGCTGGATGTTGCTGTACTTCACCTCCCGGTAGGTCTCATCATAGTGAAGGATCAGCTGCATCTGCAGCAGGCCTGCAGGGGGTCCAGGGGTGGTCACCGCGTGCTCTGAGCACCCCGGATTGTTTTGGGGACCCCTGGGAGGTGCCCATACCCAGGTATACGCCGTAGGTGAGGGTGCCTGCCAGACTGGCGGCCACCACATTCTTGATGATGCCGAGACGCTTGCGGCGGAAGTACTTCTGCTCCTCCTCCTCCTCATTGTAGTCGGGGTGAGCGCCCACAAAATCGTCCAGCTACAGGTGACCCCGGCAGTCAGACCATGGGCATGGCCACCACAGGCCTGCCCCCCCACCACCCCAGTTCCCTCCCCCGGCCTCACCTGTGTCTCTGTCCCCTCAGTGCCCAGCCCGGCACCTGGCACCATCTTGGCCCCATCCTGGCAGCAGTCAGGGTCCTTCTCCATCACTGCTTCTGGGGGGACCCTGGATGGTGCCAGGATGGGGGGGGAACCTGTTGGCACACCAAGTCTTGTACTCATGTGTCTTGCACCTCTGTGTCCTTCTCACCCAGACCCTGCGCCCCCTGACTCTGCACCCCTGTGCCCAGCACCCCCAGACCCTGTGCCCATGTGCTCTGCACCCTGAGAGATGCACCCCCAGACCTGCACCTGTGACTTGTACCCCCAGTCCTTGTACCCCTAACCCAACCCCTGCACCCACGTACCCAGCACCCCCAGATCCTGAACCCATGACTTGCACCCCCAAATCCTGCACCCGTGACTTGCACCCGTGTCCGGCTCTCTGCACCCACGTGCTCTGCATGCCTACACCCTGCACCCCTGAACTCAGCACCGCCACCCCCCCCCCCAGCATTGCACCCCCCAGAACTGCACCCCCGGGCCCAGCACCCCCAGCCTCCACCGCACCCCCTCGGCACGCCGACCCCAGTCCCGGTACCCGGTGCCAGAGCCTCCCGGGGCGGGGCGGTCGCCGCTTCCTCTTTCGGACGGGGCGGGCGGGACGGGGGTGGTTAAAGGAGCCGCTCCCAGATTTCCCCCCCCGTCCACCCCCGCACCTCTCGTGTCCCCCCGGATTTCCCCTCGGCTCCCGCACCCCGGTCCCTGCCCGCAACCCCCAGTGCCCCGCACCCGCCCTCAGCAACCCGAACCCCACAGCACCCATGACCCTGACCCCCCCCGCACCCACCGCTCCCCCGTTGCACAAGAACCCTCAAACCCCCCCCAAACTCCCCTCCCCAGCCCCTCTGTACCCCCGCAGCCTCCCCGGCGCTCCCACCAGACCCTGGGCTGGGTGCTGCCTCCTCGGGGTGCCCCGTGGCAGTGAGTGCTGGTCCCGGGCACTCTCGCTTCCCCTTCCCGGCCTGGGGGATGTGCCAGAGTGCCTGGGCGGGGGGGACACCCCAGTCTGGGGGTATGAGGCACTGCTTGCCCTGCTTGTCACCCCAAAGCCAGGGCTAGGAGGGTGCCCGGGTGCGTGACATGGCAGGGTGCCCCGGGGCAGGGTGGGGGGGACATGGGCAGGGCAGGAAGGGGGTGACATCTTCAGGGCAGGATCTGACCCAGCCGGTAGCGGGGGATTCTTGACGTGAGATTCTTACCAGGGTGCTGGTTCCTACAGGATGAGTGGGATATGTGGGGAACAGCCGCAGAAGGGTCATGGCAGTGGGGCAGGGGCAGCGCCCATCCCAAGGGCCCCCCATACCCCAGGCAAGGGTAGCCACCCTGGAGTGCCAGGGGGAAAGGGACCTCCCTGGGCATGGTCCTGGGAGCAGGATGAGGAGTGTCAGTGGGAACCTCATGGGTCAGGGTGGTCCTGGGAGCAGGATGATGCGTGTCTATTGGTTGCGAAACACTTGGGAAGTAGGATGAGGGCTGTCTATGGGACCCCCTGGGTTAGGGTGGTCATGGGAACAGGTCTGTGGGGTTCCAGCGGATCAGGGTGGTCCTGGGAGTGGGGTGAGGTGTGCCTGTGGGGTCCCAGTGGGTCAAAGTTCATGGTGGTGGTTTGGTGGCCGTGGGAATTCTCCAGTGCCACTGTCCCATGGGGGAGGTCCCATCCCATCCTATCCTATCCCAGCCCTTGTCCCCACTGCCAGCCCCATGGAGGCGGGGCCCAATCCTGCCCACCCCTGGCCGTGGGGCCCAGCCACTGGCCCCACAGCATTTAGGGGCCCCCGAGCCTCAGCAGTGGCCACCTGGACTCGTGCTCCTGCAGCCCCTGCGCAGCTCCCAAGGTAGGCACTGCGGGGTCCCCAAAACCGGCATCCCCTGCGGGGCACCCCCTTAGCATCCCCCATGTAGGTGGGGGTTGTGAGGCATTGGGGGGGTTCCCTCGAGGAAGGGGGTGGGTGCCTTAGGCATGGAGAGGAATGGGAGGACAGATGTGGGGCTGCAGCTCTGTCCCCCAGATTTGGGGATGTCTTGTCCCTGAGGTCCCCATGGGTGACCCCACATCAGGTGAGAAGCCCGGGCAGGTCAGTGTCCAGAGGCTGGCAGTCATCCCGGGAATCTCAGGCATCTCCCGGGGCCTCAGGCAGCAGCACTGGGCTGAGTCACCTCGACAACCAGGACGGCCCCCGAGCACCAAACCGCCCTTCAAAGGTGCCGCAGGCAGGTGACTCCTCTTGGGATTGAGCCGGCAGCTCCTGCGCTTCAATCCCGGCATAAACCACCCCCGTCTCTCCCCAGCACCACCACACTCTCCATGGAGACCGGCAGCTCCTTCCAACAGCTTGGCATGCAGCAGCCCCTCGAGCCCCCTGGGCAGCAGCCCCTGGGCTATGGCAAGTGCAGCACCGCGGGCAGTGATCCCGGCAAAGACGTTGGGAAAGCTGCCGGGTGCAGTGGAGGTGGTGGGATCGGGAAGGGACCAGTGCCGTTGGTCTGCAGCACTGTATGGTGAGAACAAGGGGCTGGGGACAGGAGGGAGACAGGAGGGTGGGCTGGGGGGCTGTGGCAGTGCCAGTACAATGGGGACCCAGGTTGGTGCTTGGGAACAAGTCTGGGATCTGTGGGCCACCACATTCCAGCATGGCCCAAGGGAGAAGGTGGGATCTGCCAGGAACAGTGCCATGTTGGGCTGCTCCCGGCAGCAAGGGAAAAACACAAGTGTGTGGACTCCCTGCCCTGTCCCCAGGGAATCTGGGGCTCCAGTTCGATGCTGGGATGGGACGACATGGATCTGGGGTGACATGATGCTCTGAAGAGCTGGGATAGGGCGGGGGTCCCTCTGACACCTCCATCCCTGCAGCGGGAACCCCTATGCTGGGCTGGTGAGCCACCTGCGGGCATCCTGGCTCTCTGGAAAGACACGGCCCCTGGAATACCGCACGGCCCAGCTGGAGGCCCTGGGACGCTTCCTGGATGATAAGAAGGAGGAGATCCTGGAGGCCACCGCTGCGGACATGGGCAAGGTGAGAGGGGGCTGGGATTCAGGGGCCACTGTCATCATGTCTTTGGGGTCCTTCATGCCCCTTTGTCTGGCTGTTGCATCCTCGTGGGGGTCAAGGCATGGGGTATCTCCTCTCCAGGGTCCTGTGTCCCTCTAGGTGTGCTTTAGGGCTGGTGTGGCGCATCCATAGGTGCTGGGTCCCCTCAGATCCAGGGACAGCGGAGGGACTGTGCTGCTTATCCCATCCCTAGTGCCCTGAAATTGGGCAAAGGCCACCTTGGCTGACGTGAAGTGGGAACGTTTCACCCTCTGTGTCCCCCCACACATCCAGCCCCGGGGGTCCATGTGAGCTCCACAGAGGGTGATATCCTGGGGTGCTCCCAGCACACCCGGTATTACTGGCATTGTGCAAGGTGCTGGCGCTGCACATTCCCAGAGCCTTACAGGGACTGGTTTCACTGGCACAGTAGCATGGGCAGGGACCTGGATGTGGCCCAGGGTATTGTGGAATGCCAGGAGGTCCTGGATGATCCACTGACGAAGCGGAAGCATCCCCACCATGGATAATTTTAGTGGTCTCAGCTCATCTCTCTGGAAGTGTTCAAGGCCAGGTTGGACAGGGCTTGGAGCAACCTGGTCTAGTGGAAGGAGGCCCTGCCTGTGGCAGGGAGTGGCACTGGATGGGCTTTAAGGTCCTTTCCAACCCAAACCATTCCAGGGTTCCATGATAGGATCCTCACCTCTTTGTCCGGCATCAGTGCAGCAGCCTGTGCCCTGAGCCACATCCTTCCATGTCCTGCCGTCTTCCAAGGCTCCTAATTGCCTTGTTTATTGGGGGCGAGTCCTTCTCTTTCAGCCAGGCCTTGATAGGCATCAGTGCTCAGAGTGTGTCCATCACCTCTCCTAATTATGCCTAATTAGATCTGGTTGTCCAGTAATGAGCTTGTTATGCAGCCAGGCCCTCATAGTTGGATGGACACTTCACCTGCCCTTACGTACCTGAGGTGCTGCCTCACCTCCAGCGACACCGGTTTCTCTCTGGTGCCGATGATCAGCAGCACTTGGGTGACATCAGACTTAATGTCCCATCTCACAACCTTCATATCTCATCAAAACCCTTAATGACCCATCATTTTCCTCTTAGTGGTGATGCAACTGTCATCCCAGATCAAGAGCAGCCCCGTTGCTTCACCAGATTATCGCACGTGCCTGCTGAGCTCTCACGTCCGGGAGGGTCCTCACACCTCCTGGCAACGGTGTTCTGGGGTGGTGGAAGATCGTGGGAGTCAACAACCAACCTTCCCAACCCCAAAGTAGTGTGGGGATGGGAGGAAGGCTCCAGTCCAGGGATGTTTTGGAGTTGGAGGAGTCCAAAATACGGTGTCACAGCACAGGAGCTTTGCTCCTTCGGCTCTCCACAGTCATGAAGGGGCTCCACTGAGCCTGCTGGGTTATCCCTGGTGCCTTCACAGTTCTCCTGCAAGTGTGATCTTGATCTGTGCTCCATGCCTATGGAGAGGACCCACTTCTCCATCTTGAGGGGTTTAATTAAGCTGTGGTTCTTTGTATTTCCCTTTAATCAAGGTCTTAAGTTCAGCTTTTGTCCACGGGCACAGGGAGGGAGCTCCAGGCTCTGCTTCCAGCTTGAGTATCCAAGTGCTTGGGGTGCAAGAGCACTGTCCCATCCCAGGGCAGCAATGTGGAGCTGCCTCTGGCACGAGGACCAGCTCTTCTGGAGCTCCAATGATATTGCTCTGTGTCCTCTTGGCTCGGGGCTCTGTTGCTGGTTCACAGTGCTGAGCTCAGGAATTTGTTAAATATCATGAAAATGTTCAATTTTAGTGGTTTTTTTTTTCCTCTGGTCAAATACCTATTTTCATAAAATTTCTGGGACACTGATATTCCCTGGGAGTTACAGGGGGTGATGGCGACTTCTGCTTAAGAGCTTCTCCTGCTCTTCATGCTTGGAAGAGGGGGGGAGGCGCCTCCTGGGGTGACAGGGTTGGTGTTGGGGTGATGAGGTAAGTGTTGGGGTGGCTGGGTCGATGGCGGGATCTGTGTTGAAGTGACGGAGTCCTTGTTGGGGTCGGTGTTGAGGTGACGGGGTTGGTGTTGGGGTGACCTTTTGTGATGTCTGTCCCCAGCCGTCCTTTGAGGCTTACTTCACCGAGATCCTCCTCTGCAAGAATGAGCTCAACGTCACCCTCAACAACCTGTGCCACTGGATGAAGGACGAGCACGTGGACAAGAATCTGGTAAGAGGGAAGCTCTAGGAAAAGGGAAGGCAGGGAAAGGGGTTGCTGGTGGGGAGGGCAGCGCTGAGGTCGTGGACGTTCTCGCAGGTGACGCAGCTGGACTCCGCCTTCATCCGCAAGGATCCGTACGGGGTGGTGCTCATCATAGCGCCCTGGAACTACCCCATCCACCTTTTCCTGGTGCCCCTCATCGGGGCCATTGCTGCCGGTGAGTCCCACCTTACAGTCCCCTGGCCCAGAGGATCCTGGCAGTGCCGGGGTCTCGTCCCCAGAAGGGCTGGCTGTCACCGTGTCACTCTGCTGATGTCCTGTCTATCTCCCTCCAGGGAACTGTGTCATTGTGAAACCCTCAGAGATATCCAAGAACACCGAGAGACTCGTTGCTGAAACGCTGAGCTGTTACCTGGACAATGTGAGAAGATCTTCTTGTCCTTGTCCCTGTTCCCAGGCCGTGGTGTTCTCAACCCTGCCTTGCAACCCCAACCCTACATATCTTCCATGTGCTGAACCTCCTTTCTCTATGCCCAGCCGGTGTCCCAGCATCCCAGGATGCTGTTGGTGGGGACAGATGGTGACAGGAGGTATCCTATTCCCTTGCAGGACTGCTTTGCTGTGGTGACTGGAGGTGTGCAGGAGACCACAAGGCTGCTGGAGAACAAGTTCGACTACATCTTCTTCACTGGTACGTCCCGTGGGACAGAGCAGAGCTGTGCCTGGCTTTGGTGTGAGGGGGAAGAGGGATTCCCTCTGGACATGCCTGCTAAAAGGCAGGGATTGGCTTGGGGTTGTGGTGCCAGGATGTGTTGGAGGATCTGGGACGTGCATCTGAGGTCTGGTGGGACTCAGTGTGTGTGCTGTGGGCCCAGGGTGCCGCATGGCAGAGGTGTGCGATGGCTGGTGGGTTTGTCCCCATCCCCCCCGTTTTCCGTGCCCACAGGCAGCCCCCGGGTGGGGCGGATCGTGATGACGGCCGCTGCCAAGCACCTGACGCCGGTGACGCTGGAGCTGGGGGGCAAGAACCCCTGCTACGTGTCCGACACCTGCGACGTGCCCAACGTGGCTCGGCGCGTGGTCTGGGGCCGCTTCTTCAACGCGGGGCAGACCTGCATCGCACCTGACTACCTGCTCTGCAGCCTGGAGATGCAGGAGAAGCTCATGCCCGCCCTGCGCGAGGCCATCGTGGAGTTTTTTGGCCCCAACCCCCAAGAATCCCCGGATTTTGGGCGCATCGTGGGGGACAAGCAGTTCCAGCGGGTGCGGAAGCTGCTGTGCAGCGGGCGTGTGGCCATCGGGGGACAGACGGACGAGGCTGAGCGCTACATCGGTGAGGGCTTGGGCCTCACGCACATCTTTGTCTGTGCGTGGAGCAGATGTGGCGTGTGGAGAGGGCCTCACATCCGAAGGGGGGGGCTGTAGAGGGAAATGAGGTTCCGGGAAGGTTTCCATAGGAATTGGGTGCTTAGAGATGGGCCTTGTCAGGAGGTCCAAGGTGTCATCTCCGACCTCTGTGCCCAGCTGGTGCCGTCGGGTTTCTTCTCCACAGCTCCCACAATCCTGGCGGATGTGCAGCCCTCAGACCCTGCCATGCAGGAGGAGATCTTCGGGCCCATCCTGCCCATCGTCGTCGTGGCCAACATGGATGAAGCCATTGACTTCATCAACGCGCGGCCGCGGCCCTTGGCCGTCTACGCCTTCTCCTGTGACAGCAAGGTGAGTCTGTGGAGCAGAGCAAGTGGGGAGGAAAATCAGGCACCACCCCGACAGCCACCCGGATGCGCTCTGGAGGGAACACTCTGGGAACATCCAATGGATGAATTGGGTGATGTTTGCCAAGTGCAAGACCCTCATCTGCTTTCTCTGCTCCCTCCCAGGTGGTGAACCAGGTCCTGGAGCGGACGAGCAGCGGCGGCTTCTGCGGCAATGACACCCTGATGCACGTGACGCTGACCTCGCTGCCCTTTGGAGGGATTGGTATGTCCAGAGCCCCCAGGCCTGACCAACTTCATTCTGCCTCTTAGGAATAGTAGGAACCGATAAATACATGGAGAACCTCTTATGGAACCTTGGAGATTCTCCTCAGAAAAGAGGAAGTTTTTGTTCTCTGGGTTGGTGCAATTTGTTTTCTCAAGTGAAAAGCGAGGTCGCTCAGCCCTGGGCCTTTGCTGCAGCATGGTCCAGGGATGCAGGAATACAGGAGTGTTGTTCCCCAGAATAATTCCCAATCTCTTCATCTCTCCCCAAAATATTTCTGGGATAAATCCCTCCCTTTGGTGGTGCCCCTTCTCAGCATCTCTGTCAGAGCTGGTGGCTGAGTCAGACATAATGAAACACCTTGACAATCAATTCCTCACCTGCCTGTGGCTCAGCAAACAATTTTTGGTACTTCCCATTCCGTAACTTATCTTAATTGGGAATGATTCAGACCAACCACCTCCAATTATCAGCTAAAGCCACTTTAGAGCAGGTGAATGGGCTGAAGTCATTGGGGTGAGACGGGAAGTCACCGGACTCAACCTCCAGTTAAACCAGCCACAGGAATTGGGAGAACTGGTGTTGCCAATGTGGCTTCAGGTTTTAAGAGCTCCAGGAAGAAGATGGAACAGCTCCAACCATGGGGAGATACAGAGGAGCATCATGGAGGGAAATCAAGGCTTGTAGACCCAACAAAGCTTGTGTAGATAAATGGAGGTGGGTAAAAATGAGATGCTGAGGCCTCCAAGCTGCTGAGCTGCAGCAGGATTGATTGGACTGCATATCCATAGACCTGGAAGAGGCACTGGGAAGGATGGAATTCTTCCACCATGTCTGTGTTGCTCAGCAGAGAAAAGCCTGTGAGGTTTTTTTTCCCTCGTGTTGATGCTCAGGGTGGGTGTCATCAGGACCAGAGTCCCATCCTGAGCATGGACCTGTCTGCTGTGTGTTCCAGGGAACAGTGGCCTGGGAAAATACCACGGGAAGTTCACCTTCGACACCTTCTCCCACCACCGGGGCTGCATGCACCGGAACATGGGGCTGGAGGCCCTCAATGCCCCGCGCTACCCGCCCTACACCCAGCAGAAACTGGGGCTCGTCACGGCCACCTTCGAGGTCAAGCGCAAGGGCACCTGCACTCTGCTCTGAGGGTCCCACGTCCTGCTCCGAGGGTCTCCATGCACAGAGTCGGTGTGGAGAACCAGGACTGTCCCCGGATCCTCACCGTGTCCTTTGCCTCGCTGGAGCACGTTGGACAGCCGGGATGGATGCCCTGTCCTGCACGCTTGTGGCCTCTGCTCTGGACCATTTTCTAGGACACAGCTGAAATGGCCCAGAAACTCTTTTTCCTCTTCCTGGTGGAGAAATGGTCCCATCAGCTCCATCTCCCATCACATGGACCTTTCCTTGGGGATGATCCTCCTTCTCCTCACTGTTGCTCTTTCCTCCATGTAACTCTGCCTATAGTAAAGACTTTGCATTGAGCTGTCTCCTGCCTCTCTTTGTGCCTCCATCCTCCGGTTTGGGGGGCACTGGGAGGTGCCCTGGGCTGGATTTGGCTGGAATGGAGCCAGGAGTGATATGCAGGCAGCCAAGGGGCAGGGCAGGAAGCTGGCAACCGCCCTTCTCTGGACACCCCTGGGGAAGGAGGAAGCTGCAGTTGGCAGCGCCGGTGCAACCACCCTTGTTTTGCTCCTGTGGGACCATGGAGACCGACAGTGTCTTCCCACAGCCTGCCGGGAGTGGGGCTGGGAGAGCCCCTGAGGGTGATGGTGGGAAGGGGAGCGTGGATGGTGATGCCATGAGGTAAGAGTGTGGTGGGATAGAGGGGCAGCAGGAGGGGTCCTGGTGCTCTGCCCTCTCCCTGGAGCAGCAGTTGGATAACAGGATAGGGTGATGCGGAACTTGGAGGAGCTGGGATGGGGCTGGGGTCCCTCTGACACCCCTGTCCCCACAGCGGGAACCCCTACGCAGGGCTGGTGGGCCACCTGCGGGCATCCTGGCTCTCCAGGAAGACACGGCCCATGGAATACCGCGTGGCCCAGCTGCAAGCCTTGGGACGCTTCCTGGATGAGAAGAAGCAGGCGATCCTGGAGGCCACCGCTGCGGACATGGGCAAGGTGAGAGGGGCCGGGAACTGGGGGGAGCTGGTGGCTGGAGGAGCCGAAGGGCTCCCCTACCCCGGCTGAGGGCGCTGTGTCCTCCTCCCTCGGAGTGCTCCACCCCCGCATGGACTCCGACCCGGGCTCGCAGTCTCTGGAGCAGGGAGAGTGAGGTGAAGCATGTCCCAGCCCCCCTCCAGAGCTTGTCCCTGCCCTGACCTGGGCACAGGGGGCTGTGGGAAGCCTCCCGGCATCGATAGCCATTCCCGCACCTACCAGCCTCTGTTTCCCTCTTTCCTGGGCAGTTTCACCCCTGCTCCCTGCCCGAGCTTCCCACTGAATTGTCACTCCCTTCCCTCCCTGAGGGCTTTCCCAGGCTGCGGCATTCCGAGCCTGGACTCTGTGGCTCTGCAGCTGGAGCCTCACCACCACGCAGGGCTCATTGTCTGCTGCTCTCCAACCTTTGGACACCCTCCCTCCCCATCCTTCCTGCTGTCTGGATCAATGGGATCTGCGTCAGTTTTCCTATTTTTTTTAAGCAGTCAGTGCTTAAAAACCTCATGCCACAGACACAGGGGGGCACTCAGCATCCTTGAGGGGGTGCCCATTCACCATGGGATGTGGAGGCTCCAGGGCTTCAGTCCCCAGATCCTGGGGAAAAGAATGTGGAGTGTGAGGATATGAGCTGCCTTGTGCTGCAGGACACGCTGAGGTGACATGTCAGGTCCTCGGTGTCCCCAGCCGCCCTTTGAAGTTGAATTATCCGAGACGCTCCTGTGCAAGAATGAGCTCCACGAGACCCTGAACAACCTGTCCCACTGGATGAAGGACAAGCAGGTGGACAGGCCTCTGGTGAGAGGGAAGTGGAGGGAGAGGACGGGAGGCAGAACCGGGTGGGGTGGTGGTGCAGGATGGGACCTGTTGTGGTGGGTGTCCTGCAGGCGACCCGGTTGGATTCGGCCTTCATCCGCAAGGATCCGTACGGGGTGGTGCTCATCATAGCGCCCTGGAACTACCCCATCTACCTCATCCTGGGGCCCCTCATTGGGGCCATCGCTGCTGGTGAGCCCCACCTTAAAGTCCCCTGGCCGGGAGGATCCAGGCACCTCATCCCCAGAAGGGCTGGCTGTTATCATGTCACTGCTCCAACATCCTCTTGATCTCCCCCAGGGAACTGTGTCATCATCAAACCCTCAGAAGTATCCAAGAACACCGAGAGACTCGTGGCAGAAGCGCTGCCCTGCTACCTGGACAAGGTGAGACGCTCTCCCCATCCCTGTCTCTTGGCTGGGGTGTTCCTACCCCTGCACACTCGGAGCTGTGCCCTGTGCCCACCCATACACTATCCCTCGTGCCATGAGCTGCCCAGCCTCCTTCCTCCATGCCCAGCCAGTGTCCCAGCATCCCAGGATGCTGTTGGAGAGAACAGATGGTGACAAGAGGGGACCTGTTCTCCTACAGGACTGCTTTGCTGTGGTGACTGGGGGTGTGCAGGAGACCACAAGGCTGCTGGAGAACAAGTTCGACTACATCTTCTACACAGGTAATCCCGTGGGACAGAGCAGAGCTGTGCCTGGCTTTGGTGTGAGGGGGAAGAGGCAGATCCCTCCACAGGCAGGGATTGGCTTGGGGTTATGGTGCCAGGATGTGTTGGAGGATCTGGGACGTGCATCTGAGGTCCGGTGGGACTCAGTGTGTGTGCTGTGGGCCCAGGGTGCCGCATGGCAGAGGTGTGCGATGGCTGGTGGGTTTGTCCCCATCCCCCCCGTTTTCTGTGCCCACAGGCAGCCCCCCGGTGGGGCGGATCGTGATGACGGCCGCTGCCAAGCACCTGACGCCGGTGACGCTGGAGCTGGGGGGCAAGAACCCCTGCTACGTGTCCGACACCTGCGACGTGCCCAACGTGGCTCGGCGCGTGGTCTGGGGCCGCTTCTTCAACGCGGGGCAGACCTGCATCGCGCCTGACTACCTGCTCTGCAGCCTGGAGATGCAGGAGAAGCTGCTCCCTGCTCTGCGTGAGGCCATCACGGAGTTTTATGGCCCCAACCCCAAAGAATCCCCGGATTTTGGGCGCATCGTGGGGGACAAGCAGTTCCAGCGGGTGCGGAAGCTGCTGTGCAGTGGGCGTGTGGCCATCGGGGGACAGACGGACGAGGCCGAGCGCTACATTGGTGAGGGCTTGGGCCTCACGCACATCTTTGTCTGTGCATGGAGCAGATGTGGCGTGTGGAGAAGGTTTCCACAGGATTTGGTGTTTGGCGGGGTGTCCTTTCATAGAGGAGCTGGGTCTTGGCAGGAGGTCCAAGGTGTCATCTCCGACCTCTGTGCCCAGCTGGTGCCGTCGGGTTTCTTCTCCACAGCTCCCACGATCCTGGTGGACGTGCAGCCCTCGGATCCCGTCATGCAGGAGGAGATCTTCGGGCCCATCCTGCCCATCGTCATTGTGGCCAACATGGATGAAGCCATTGACTTCATCAACAGCCGTGAGCGGCCCTTGGCCATCTACGCCTTCTCCTCCAGTGACAAGGTAGAGTGACACCAGGACTGCACCCGCCCTGTGCTCCTTGGCAGGCGTATCCAGCCATGTCTGAGCTCCAGATATTTTCCTTAGAGCACACAGCCCTGGTTAGGGGGGATGGATTGCAGCTGGAGGTGCGAGAGTGAGGTTGGAGACCCACTTCCCGCCTTCTCTGCTCCCTCCCAGGTGGTGAACCAGGTCCTGGAGCGGACGAGCAGCGGCGGCTTCTGCGGCAACGACACCCTGATGCACGTGACGCTGACCTCGTTGCCCTTTGGAGGGATTGGTATGTCCAGAGACCCCAGTCCTGGCCAACAGAAGCCAGGTGTGATCCCACCCATGGTCAGGAAGGGTCTCAAGAGGAACTCTCTGCTCCAGAGGGCTCAGTGGTCCATAGGGAAATTCTCTTCCAGAAGCCATTTGCTTCACCTTGAGCTCTTTGGCTTTGCTGGACACACGTGGAGCACCCTGAGGTTCCTTCTCTCTGTGTTTCCTATCCCAACCTCTCTGTTCCCTGTGTCTGTGGAAATGTCTTGCTTAAAACATTGGGAACTGGGGCTTGGAGCAACACGGTGTAGTGGAAGTTGTCCCTGCCCATGGCAGAGGGGTTGGAACTGGACAATCTTTAAGGTCCCTTCCAATCCCAACTCGGGATGATTCATGAAATTTTATCATATCCCTTATCAACACAGGAGATTTCCTTATTTTTTGCCAGCCTGCCTGCCTTCCCTCTGCTTGCTCCTGGCTGGCCACCTTCCACCTCTCGACATTGTTCCCTGGAGATGGGTCCCACCTTGCCAAAGCCACCTTGACCATTGTTCCTCTCCACTCCCAGTGTCTTTGCAGCATGGGCTGGATCCAGGGCTTGATCCAGCATAGATGGGATGTGTTTTGGAGGGTATTCCTGCGGTAGGGAAGCTCATCTGGTGGGAGCATCTTGCTGCTGCCACCAGTTCATCAATGATGCCCTTCCAGTTGCTAAATGTGTTACCTGAAAGGGTGAAATCCTCTGATGAGAGGGTTTTTGGGAATCTTTCCACCTCCCAGCCTGATCTTCCCACTCCAGACATCCATTTGGGTGTGCACTGGGTTACCTTGATGGTCCCGTTTTGGTCACATGCCTGGGAAGTTCATCCACGGCTTGGAAAGCAGCTGGATGAAGTTGGGGTGCCATTTTTATGGAGCTGGGAGCTTAACTGTGGAGTTCTTTGACCCACACAATGGCCAGATCCAGCCACCCCCCAGGGTCCTGTGCTGTGTATTCCAGGGAACAGCGGCATGGGAATGTACCATGGGAAGTTCACCTTCGACACCTTCTCCCACTGCCGTGGCTGCCTGAAGCGTGGGATGGGCCGGGAGCCCCTCAATGCCCCGCGCTACCCCCCCTACAGCCAGAAGAAATTTGGGATCATCCAGGCCGCTTCCAAGGTGACACGTAAGGATGACTGTACCCTGCTCTGAGGGTCCCTGTGTCCCGTTCCAAGGATCCCCCTCCAACCCTGGCTGTGGTGTCCAGGTGCAATGAAAGGTGTTTCCTCACATCCTGTGTGCTTCCCTTTCATCTCCCTGCACCCCTGCTCACCTCAGAAGTCCCCTGTCCCCCACATCTCCCTCCATCCCAGTCCCACGTCCCCTTTTTTGGCTCTCTGAGGCTCCATCACCGCTGGCCCCACCACAGCACAGGGGGTCACCCCTGTGTCCCCCTCACTGAGGACTCTGCTCTGAGGAGGTCCACAGCAACACTCTCATCCCAAATCCTTATGCTGGGATGATCTCAGTCGTTACCAATGACCCCAGTTTCTCCTGCTCTATGATCCCAGCACCATGATGCTACAGTTTGGGGGGCTGGTTGTGCTCGGAAAAGGGATTCCCACCCCTGCCGGGCTGTGGAGTGCCGTGGCTGAATCCCAGAGGGATCTTCCTGGGTAGGACGGGGAGAGAGAATCTGAGAAGGACGTTGAGATAAAGACAGTTTAATAAGAAAACACAAGGAAAGGGGGACGGTACCCAGTACCGGCGTACCGCTGCCCCCCTCCCGGGGCTGTACCGGGGGTCATGGCTCGGGGCCAACGTTGAAGGTCCCCCCCCGGGCTGATCCCCTGCCCCGCTCTCCATGTCCTTGGAGCCCTGGTCCCCGCCCTGAGCTCCCCCGGGGCTGTGCCCGGCTCTGCAGTGGGTCAAAGCGGGCTGGGCCGCTCCAGGTTCGAGACCTTCCGACACCCGCGGCCCGTGCTGCTGTGGGAACTGGCCAGGAGGCCCTGGAAGCCCGGGAAGTGCCAGAAGCCCGGGAAGTGCCGGGGCCCGGGAGCCGCTGTAACCACGCTCGACTCCACCGCCATCGACATGCGCTTCCACTTCCGCCGGTCGCTCGGACACGCCCCTCCTCCGTCCCAGCCAATCGCCGCGCGCGCGGGCACCGCTCCATCCAATGAGTGACGCCCGGCCGCCTTCCCCTCCCCGCCAGAGGGCTCCGACCAATGGGAAGCGCATCCATGGCCGCGCGCCCCGCCCACCCGGCGCCACCGGGCGCGCATGCGCAGTGCCTGCGGGGGCGACCAGGGGTCAGGGCGCCGGAGGGTCCTTGGGGCAGGTGAGGGGACAACGGGGGGGGCCCGGAGGGGTCCAGGGGCTGTGCCGGGCTGGGGGGTCCCGCTTGGGGCAGAGGGGGCGGCTCGTCCCGCGCCCCCGAGGACAAGCGCAGAGGGTGAGCGGCGATTTTGGGGGTGACAGGAGCGGTTTATCCCGCCGGCGAGGGTCAGTGGCTGCTGGAGAGTGGGGAGGGGGCTTGGGGCTGAGTTTTTGGGGCATGGGGGTAGGGGAGGCTACCTGAGTCCTTTGGGGGGATCCTTTGGGAAAGGGACAGGACTCCTGAGTCATTTGGGGGGACACTTGGGGTCCCTGGGGAGTGTTGGGACACCAGGGTCCCTGGCGGGAGGAAGTGCTCCTGATGTCCGAGTCTCTTTGGGTGGACGGGTGGGGGTCAGGGTCCCAGGCCCCCCGTGGGAGGTTGGGGGGCCTCCCTTGTTTGCAGCCCCTGAGGTTCCCTCTGCACCCCAGGACCAGCCATGGCGGCGCTGCGACTGCTGTACCGGGCTTCCCGCGCAGGTGAGGCCTGAACACCAGGCACCCCTGAACTCCCCTAAGCCCCATCTCGACCCCCCCCAACCCCCCCCGCCCCCCCCCCAGGCCCCCCGGTCCCGCTGCGCCTGCTCAGCACCAGCACCCCCAGGGACTGCTACAGTGAGTAGGGTTATGCTGCCTCTGTGTCCCCTCTGTGTCCCCTCCCTGCGGTGGGCACAACTTCTGCCCCCAGGGCACGCGGGGCAGGCACAGCTCCCTTTTCCTGCAGAGTACGTCAACGTCCAGGAGCCGGCCATGGACATGCGCTCCATCACCGACCGCGCCGCGCAGACCCTGCTCTGGACCGAGCTCATCCGAGGTGAGGCCCGCTCACCCTGCCCATCTGCAGGGTGCCATCCCCCCATAACCCTGCTCTGTCCCTGCCAGGCCTGGCCATGACCATGAGCTACCTGTTCCGGGAGCCGGCCACCATCAACTACCCGTTCGAGAAGGGCCCGCTGAGCCCGCGGTTCCGCGGGGAGCACGCGCTGCGCCGCTACCCGTCCGGGGAGGAGCGCTGCATTGCCTGCAAACTCTGCGAGGCTGTGTGCCCGGCACAGGTGAGCTTTCCTCCCCCTGCTCCCGCCGCCCGGGGGCTCCGGGGCTGACGCTGTCCCCGTGCCAGGCCATCACCATCGAGGCCGAACCCCGCGCCGATGGCAGCCGCCGCACCACCCGCTACGACATCGACATGACCAAGTGCATCTACTGCGGGTTCTGCCAGGAGGCCTGTCCCGTGGATGCCATCGTGGAGGTGAGCGGGGCTTGGGGGTGCTACAGACCCCCTCTTCCCCACCGTGCTGACCCCAAGGGTGACACCCCCCTCTCCTCCCACCCTGGCAGGGTCCCAACTTCGAGTTTTCGACGGAGACGCACGAGGAGCTGCTCTACAACAAGGAGAAGCTGCTCAACAACGGCGACAAGTGGGAGGCCGAGATCGCTGCCAACATCCAGGCTGATTACCTGTACCGGTGACGGCCCCCCTGGCACCCACCCACCATCAAATAAAGGGTCTGGGGGTTCACCCACCACCGGGGGCACTGGCCCCTTCCCAACCTGCAGCTCCGTGTCTTTTCCTTCCAGTGCTGGGTTTTGACCCCCTGAGCCCCAGGGGGATCCCCGGGTGTGTGGTTGTGTTTTGAGGAGGAGGATGAGGGTCCTGGGGGTGACACCAACCTTGGGGTGAGGGAGTGGGTTGCACAGAAAGATGTGGGATGGGATGAGGGGTGGGCAGGGATGGAGCGGCAGTGCTGGGGGGGGAATTAGGGAAGAGCTGGGAGATTCATTTCCAGCTTCCAGGGGCAGCCAGGTACGGGGGGCGTGGTGGTACTGTTGTGGGGGTCCTAGTGGTGCTAGTGTGAGGGTCTGGGTGGTCTCAGCAGGGGGATCCTGGTGGTACTGGTGTGGGGGTCCTGGTCATCCTGGCACGAGGGTCCCAGTGATCCCATCATGGGGGTCTCAGTGTGATCCCAGCACAGGGATCCCAGCGGTACCAGTGTGGGGGTCCAACCTTCCTGACAGGAGTGGTCCTGGTGGTTATGGTATGAAGGTCCCAGTAATACCAGTGTGAGGGTCCTGGTGGTACTGGTGTGGGAGTCCTGGGGGTCTCGGTGATCCCAGCTGGGGAATCCTGATGGTGTTGGTATGGAGATCCCAGTGGTACCAGTGTGGGGGTCCTGGTGGTTTCGATATGGAGGTCCCAGTGATACCAGTGTGGGGGTGCCTGGTGATCCTGGTATGGAGTCCTGGTGGCACTGCCGGAGTGTCCTAGTGATACTGGTGGGCGGTTTCTCGGCTCTGGGGCGCGGGGGAGCTGTTTCCCATTGCCATCCTTCTCGGGGGATGTTGCAAGGGGTCCTGTCTCCGAGGAGCCCCTTCCCACCGCGGTGTGGGATGCGGGATGTTCCGGGACGGGGGTTCCCGTGGGGCGGCGGGGCCGGGCCGGTCGGTCCCTCCCCGGGGCCGGGCTCTTCCTGGGGAAGAGGAAGTGCGGATCCCCGCCCCGCTCCGCCGCAGGGTGGGCAGCAGGGGCGGGTGGGCCCGGAGCGGAGCCGGGGCGGTCCCGGGGCGAGGGGTTCGCTGGCCCTGACTCAGAGGCAGCTGAGCGGGGCGGAGACTGTGGGGAAATAGGAGGTCTGGAAAGTATTTTGCCAGCCCGGTGCTGGGAAGAGCCGCGTGTGACCGGAGCGGGTCGGTTTCCCACGGCCACAGCAAGGCGACACCGCGGTGCCGCCGCCGCCGCCTCCGGGACCCCCGGGGTGACGCCTGGGGTGACCCCCCCCCTGCCCTGGTGTTCTCTTTTCCAACCCTCACCCCTCTGTGTCTCAGTCCCCCATTCCCATCCCATCCCGTTCCCTGCTGTACCGTTCTATCCCATCCCCAGGCGGGTGCCCTGACGCCTCCGCACCCCGAGCCGGATTGGGGGTCTCTGGGGGTCTGGGGGGGGCCATGGGGTCCCTGTTCCGCAGCGAGGAGGTTTGCCTGGCCCAGCTCTTCCTCCAGTCCGCCTCTGCCTACAGCTGCATCAGCGAGCTGGGAGAGCGCGGGCTGCTGGAGTTCAGGGATGTAAGTAAGGGCTGGGGGGGGGGGGGGGGGGGGGGGGGTTTTGGGGGGTCCGGGGGGTGGGTCTGGTTGGGTCTGGGTGTCCTAGGTTTGGGATGGGTGTTTTGGGGTGCTCTGGGGACAGGGAGTTGGTCTGGGTGGGTTAGGGTGCAGGCTGTTTGGGATACTTATTGGGTGCAGGAGAGTTGGTTTAGGGTGCTCTGGGAGCAGGGAAGTTGATCAGGGTGGGTTAAGGTGCCGGGAATTTGGGATGGTGTTTTGAGGTGCCTGTGCTGCCTGTCACCCCGGGATGCTGGACTCCCCATCCCGTGGGGCCATGCCCTGATTCTCCCCCCCCACAGCTGAATCCCAAAGTGAGCCCCTTCCAGCGGCGCTTCGTGGGCGAGGTGCGGCGCTGTGAGGACATGGAGAAAACCTTCAGTGAGTGCCGCGGGGGGCGCGGGGCTGACTGGGGGCCTTCTTAGGGGGATCCCCCCCCCCTTAGCCCTCCACTCTGACTGTGTTCTCCCCCCCTTCCCCAGCCTTCCTGCAGCAGGAGCTGCGGGGCGCGGGGCGGGTGCTGGGGCCGTGCCCCGAGAGCCCGCGGGCGCCGCTGGCGCGGGAAGCGCTGCGGGTGCAGGAGCAGTCGGAGCAGCTGGCGCAGGAGCTGCGGGAGGTCACCCGGAATCGCTCGTCCCTGCGCGGGCGCCTGCGGGACCTGCGGCAGTACCTGCACGTGCTGCGGGAGGGACAGCGCTTCACCAGCCTGCCGGTGGGTCGGGGGGGCCCCGCCGGCCGCGGGGGGCTGCTTGGTGCCTCAGCTTCCCCCCTCCCACACTCACCCCTCTGCTCCGCATCGCCACAGGCCCCCCTGGGCTCTCCGCCACGGCCACGGGCGCTCTCGGACCGAGAGCCCATCCTCGACCCCTCCCTGCACCAGCACCTCGAGCGCAAGATCAAGTGAGAGGGGCCGGGGTGGGGGATGGAGAGGGGCTGTGGGGCAGCGATGTGGCCACGGGGTAACTGGGAAGCTGTGGGATAAGGGGTGGAGATGGCCTGCGGGACAGTGGCATGGCTGGGGGGCAGCTTGCCCATCCCAACACCCCTGTGGTGTCTCTGCAGCTTCGTGGCCGGTGTCATCCACCCCTGGCGAGTGACCGCCTTCGAGCGGCTGCTGTGGCGTGCCTGCCGCGGGTACCTGGTGGCCTCCTTCGTGGAGATGCCCGAGCCCATGGAGGACCCGGCCACGGTGAGGGGGCACGGGGGGGGGGCTGTTAGGGTTAGGGGGCTGGAACACCAGGGTGACACGGGCTGTGCTGTTCCCAGGGCGAGAGCGTCACCTGGGTCATCTTCCTCATCTCCTACTGGGGCGAGCAGATCGGGCAGAAAATCCGCAAGATCTCGGACTGGTGAGGGGCCGTGTCTGTCCACACGGAGGTTTATTTAGTAACACCCACTCTGGATCCTCCTGCAGGGCTGGGCTGGGAAGCCCTGGCACACCCTAACAGGGTGGTCTCCATCTGTCCCAGCTTTCACTGCCAGGTGTATCCATACCCAGAGAGCGAGGCCAGCCGGGAGGACACCATCACCGGGCTGCACAGCCAGATCCAGGATCTCAGCGTGGTGAGCTGGGGGCCATGGGGGGACCTAGGAGCCGTGCCGGGACCCACATCCCTAACCCAGGTGCCCGCAGGTGCTGGAGGAGACGGAGCAGTACCTGGCACAGGTTCTGGACAAGGTGGCGCTGGCGCTGCCCGCCTGGCGTGTGCAGGTGCAGAAGATGAAGGCCATCTACCTCATCCTCAACCAGTGCAGCTTCGACGTCACCGAGAAGTGCCTCATCGCCGAGGTCTGGTGCCCCGTGCGGGACCTCACCCAAGTGCAGGATGCCCTGCGCCAGGGATCGGTGAGCGGCTCGGTGTCCCCACGTCCCCGACCTGGGCATGCTCAGTGTCCCTGTGTCCTTATACTGGGATTGCTCAGTGTCCTCATGCCAGAGCTGCTTGGTGTCCCCGTGTCCCCATGCCAGCAGCTGCTCTGTGTTCCTGCATCCTCATGCCAGGGGATGCTTGGTGCCCTTATGCCCTCATGCCAGAAGTTATTCGATATTCCCCTGTCCTTGTGCCTGGGTTTCTTGGTGCCTCCACGTCCTCATGCCAGCAGTTGGTTGGCGTCCTCGTGTCCTTGTGCCAGGGGTTGCTCAGTGTCCCCAGGTCCTCATGCCAGACGTTACTCAGTGTCCTTATGTCTTTATGTCCCCTCATTACTGTGGAGCATGTGCCAGGAAGGGGGGTGCCAGGATCAGGCTCTGGGTGCCGGGCAGGGGGCTGCTGTGGGGTGGTGCCATGCAGGGGGGTGCCAGGATCAGGCTCCGGGTGCCGTCCCCGCAGTACCAGAGTGGCTCCAGCGTGGAGTGCTTCGTGCAGCGCGTCCCCACCTCGGAGAGCCCCCCCCACCCTCATCCGCACCAACAAGTTCACCGCCGGCTTCCAGAGCATCGTGGATGCCTACGGGGTGGCCAGTTACCAGGAGGTGAACCCTGGTAAGGCCCCCCCCGGACCCCCCGCCGCGGCCCGGGGCTGGGGAGGGCACCCCACGTGATGCAGTCCCTGTGTCCCACAGCGCCCTACGCCATCATCACCTTCCCCTTCATCTTTGCCATCATGTTTGGGGACGTGGGGCACGGGCTGCTCATGTTCCTCTTCGCCCTCTGGATGGTGCTGTACGAGGACAGCCCCCGCCTGCGGCAGGGCACCAACGAGGTGGGGGCGGGACGGAGGGGGGGGATGGGGTTGGAAATAAGGGCACCAACGAGCTGGGGGACGTGGGATGGAGTCGGAGATGTGGGATGGCCTTGGAAGCGTGGGATGGGGTTGAAGGTGTGGGGCAAGGTTGGGGGCATGGGATTGGGAGCATGGGATAGGGTTGGTGACACAGGGTGGGTCAGGGGTGGTGGTGTGGGAGGGGGAGGGCATGGGGCAGGGGAGGTAGTGAGGGACATGTGAGCCATATTTGCCCCCACCAGATCTGGCTGACGTTCTTCGAGGGGCGTTACCTCATTCTGCTCATGGGCGCCTTCTCCATCTACACCGGCTTCATCTACAACGAGTGCTTCAGCAAAGCCACCGTCATCTTCCCCTCTGCCTGGAGCGTGGCCACCATGGCCAACCACTCCTCCTGGAGGTGGGATCCCACCCCTGCACCCCCTGCCTGCGTCCCTGGGTCCCTGACGGTGCTGACACCCCTTGCTCTGCCCCCAGCTCTGCCTACCTCGCCACCCACGCCTCCCTCACATTGGACCCCAATGTCACCGGTGTCTTCCGAGGGCCATATCCATTTGGGATCGACCCAGTGAGTGTCCCATAGGGGTGACAATGAAGTAGGACCCTCTTTGAGGTGGCGCAGAGTCTCACCCGCCTTGTCCACAACAGATCTGGAGCTTGGCCACCAACCATCTCAACTTCCTCAACTCCTTCAAGATGAAGATGTCAGTGGTGCTGGGCATCGTGCACATGGGCTTTGGCGTCGTGTTGGGGGTCTTCAACCACCTGTGAGTTCTCGGGCTGCTCCCACTGGCTCTTGTCATGCCAAGGGGACCAGGATTGGACTCACCTGGGTGGGAAGGGGTGGGTGACTTGGGTCCTGTACTCCTACACCTTAGTGGGTGCCGAGGACACGGGGGGGTAAGGAGGGACAGACTGAGCTTGTCTGATGTCCTCCCCCACCAGGCACTTCAAGCAGCGGCACCGGCTGGTCCTGGAGTTCCTCCCGGAGATGATTTTCCTCCTGGCTCTTTTTGGCTACCTAGTCTTCCTCATCTTCTACAAGTGGCTCAAGTACAGCGCTGCTGACTCCCAGGTGGCCCCCAGCATCCTCATCCACTTCATCGATATGTTCCTCTTCACCTCCAATGACGAGAACCGCCCGCTCTACCAGGGGCAGGTACCACCCCACCACCATGGGGACCACCCACCCCCTACCCAGGGTGGGAGGGCTGGGAGCCCTGGTGTCGTGAATGGGGCCGTTCTCAGCTCGGGTAGCCCATAGGGGACCCCAGAATGATGTCCCCGTGCCACAGGTGCCGGTGCAGATGGTGCTGGTGGTGCTGGCGCTGGCGTCGGTGCCCATCCTGCTCCTGGGGACGCCGCTGTATCTGTGGTGCCGCCAGCGCGCCCCGAGTAGGGTAAGGCTGGGGGGCTGTGGGTGGCTCAGCGGGGAGGTGCAGGGGGGGGCACATCTCACTGCCTGCCGATGCTGTCCCGGTGCAGCCGGTGGCTACGGGAGAGCAGGAGCCACTGCTGGATGGGCAGGAGGCCGGGAACTCTGTCAACGCCACCAAGGAGGACGTGGAGAGCGGGGGGCACAGCCCTGACGCCAAGGTGAGGGGCACCCAGGCGGGCTCAGGTGGTGGGAGTAGGGGCGTCTGTGCCCCCTGCTCATGTCCCATGTTCCCTCCATCCCTGCAGCACTTGGACTTCTCCGAAATCTTCATGCACCAGGCGATCCACACCATCGAGTACTGCCTGGGCTGCGTCTCCAACACCGCGTCCTACCTGCGGCTCTGGGCGCTCAGCCTGGCGCACGCCCGTGAGTGCCCTTGGCCCCCTCTGTCCCCCACCGGAGCTGGGCAGACCCTCACCCCCTCTGCCTGCCCCTGTCCCACCCATTCCCAGAGCTCTCGGAGGTCCTGTGGACCATGGTGATGCGGAATGGCTTCGTGGGGCTGAGCTACGTGGGCGGGGTGGTGCTGGTGCCCGTGTTCGCCGCCTTCGCTGTGCTGACCGTAGCCATCCTGCTGGTGATGGAGGGGCTCTCCGCCTTCCTCCACGCCCTGCGCCTGCACTGGTGAGCCCCCAAAAGCTGGTGGGGTCTGGAGGGTGGGAGGGCGATGGACCCCCACCAACCACCCCTGACCTCCCACCTCGCCTTGCCAGGGTGGAGTTCCAGAATAAGTTCTATGTGGGTGCTGGGTACAAGCTGTGCCCCTTCGCCTTCGCACCAGACACCTGGGACTAGCCATGCTGAGGGAATGTCGGGGGCTCAGAACATCGGCAGCACCCCAAATTCCCCCCTGCTGGACCCCCAGAGCCAAGGGGCAGGGGGGTCTGGCTCCAGCATCCCCCGTCCCCTCCTTGGCAGTGAATAAAGCTATCCCCATGGTTTCCCCCCAGCCCTGCGTTGCCATCCCTTGGGTAAGGGGTTGGGGGGGGGGATTTGGGGGTGCCCCCCATCACTGCTGCCCGTAGCCAAAGGTGGGGCCCGCGGTGGTGCCGTAGGTGCTGAGCGGGGGGAAGGTGGGCAGGGGGTAGGGCAGGGTGCGGGGTTTGGCCCCCACGTAGACGTTGGGGGGGGCAGGTCAGGGGCTGGAAGGGAGGTGCAGGGAGCTCGGGGAAATTGGGGGGTGCCGCTGGTTGTTGGGCGGCAGCAACCAGCGCCCCGTGGCTGCGGGGAGCCCCTGGGGGGGGAGAGAGGCAACAGCAGGGGGTCAGCCCCCTCCGCAGCCCCCCTACCTTTCTCCTGCTTCTCGGGGCGGGGGGGCAGTGGGGCGGCCCGGGCGCGGGTTGTCGCCCCCAGCAGCGACCCTGCCGGCACCCCACACCTGCAAGAGAGATGGGGGGTCAGGGGAGGTGGCGTGACCCCCTCACTGCGGTGTGGGGGCAGCGTCCGGGGGTCCCTTACCATGGCTCGGGGTCTCCATCCCGAAATCCCTTGGCGAAGGGGTTGCTGGCGATCTTCAGCTGGGTGATCTGTGGCGGGGAGCGGGGTCAGGGGGTCCCTGGGAGGGTACCCCGGTGTCCCGACCCCCCCCGCCCCCCGTGCTCACCCGGTGGTTCTGGTAGGCCGTCACCGCCATGAACTGGGTCTCGGGGAAGCTGAAGGACTTGAAGTTCTGGTGGGCGAAGCGCTCGCTGTCGCGCCGCGGGTCCACGAGGACGACGTGGAATCGGGGCTGGTAGCGGTGCATGGAGTTGAGGATGATCTGGGCGGGGGGAAAGGGGAAGGTGGCAGGAACCCCCCCCCGTGCAGGGGTGCATCGTGTCCCCCCCCCATCGCCCGCCCCACGGTGGGGTCCTCACGTGGCCGTTGTCGTCCAGGAGGTTGTTGGTCAGCTTGAGCTTGTCGAAGGAGACGATCTGCCGCATCCACTGGGCGCCCTTGGCGGGGGAGTCGGGGTGGAAGTGGACACGTCCGGGAGCTGCCGGCTCGGCCCGGCCCGCCGCCAGCCAGGAGGAGCTGTGGAAGGCGTATCTGCAGGGTGGGGTGGGGCTCAGCACCCCCAGATCCAACCCCCTGCCCCCATCACCCCATCTCCACCTGTATCTCTTGTCGTCAAGCGGGATGAAATCCATGAGCAAGACGTAGTCAGCCAGCGGATCCAACCCCGACAGCTTCACCTGGAAGGTGGGAAACATCCTCCTGCGTAGAGAGGGGGGGGTGGGAAGGTTGTGCCCCCGCCCTGGCAGCCCCCCGTGCCCCTCGGGTGCCAACCTGCCCGCTTTGGTGACGATCATCTCGGTGCCCAGGCGGTTGAACTCCTCCCAGAGGCTGCCCATCTCCAGCCGTGCCACGGCGTGGCACACGCGCCGGTTCTTGCCGCTGGCCCCTGGCCCCTCGCCAGCCCACCCAAGACCAGGGGCACACGGGGATCCCTCACCTGCAGCCCCCAGGAAGGCTGCAGAGGGATGAAGGGGGTGTTGGTCTGGGGAAGCAGACCTGGTGTGCGGACACCGCATCACACCCTCCCTCTGTGGAGGGATGGGAGGGTTGGGGTGGGTTTTATCCCCCTCCCTATTGCAGTCCCACTCTTTTGGGGCTGGGTGACCCCCCCACACCTTATAACACTGTGGGACCCCACCACAGGACCCCACCAGTGGGACCAGGGAGCGTTACCGCGGGTGAGTTTTACCTGCCATGGGTGCAGCAGGAGGGTAGGAGGTGTCCGTGGCTCTGTCTCCAGGCATGGTGGCAGTGGGGACCCCTCTGAAGCCCCGTCCCAGTGCAGCGCTGGCTCTGGACTGTCCCCCACAGCCTGCCAGGGGTTTTATGCCCCAGCTCCGGCGTGGAGAGGCGGGGGCTGGAGCTGAGGTGGTCCTCAGAGGCTGGAGCACGGCCCCCTTCCCTGACCTGCCTTGACGCGATGATGACGGATAGGAGGTGAGCGGTGGCACCGCTGGGACCACCACTGATCCCCAGCTGGGGCTTGGGGCACCCTGGGCTGCAGAGAGACATCTGTTTTGGGGTCTCCATGTCCCCTTTCTATCACAGATCTGAGCAGGGGAGATGGGGGCTGCTCCAACCCCCTCCCCCCGGGCAAAGCCCCTCTCTGCGCGCTGCCGTCACCACCCGATATTAAAAATCACAGTGAGGTGTTGAGGCATTGGCTGTTCTGGCAAAGCCTCTGTGGGGTGGGAGGGAGGATCAGGCTGCTCCCTTCCCTAAACCCATCCCAGTGTGGGTCCTGTCTCTGGCCTGGTACCTGGGACCCCCCTGCCCCCCATCACCGTGTTCAGTACTGGCCTGACAGTGGGAGATGGATGGGGACAAGTTGGTGCCGTGGGGCTGAGGGATATTTGCAGGGAGGTGACAGACACCAGGGCAGGGGGCTATGGTGGGAAAGCAGGGGGCTAGTCCAGAGCCCCCCAGTCCCCTACGAACTGTCTCACTGCACACCACAGAGTGTACTCCAGTGGGATGAGGGATGCTGAAGCTCTGGGGAAGGATCTGGATGAGAAGGAGATGTCCTCATGGGGATGCTGGTGGTTTTTTCTCCCCATTGGTGCCCCAGTGATGGTGGCACTGGACTGAAATCCCTCCCTGCTTTGCATGTCTCCAAGCTGGGTCTCAGTCTTCCCTTCTGCCTTGGGGTCAACACTTAAATCCTTCCCATGCCCGTCGTAACACGGGGAGAATCCTGTGTCCCCCGTACGCTATAGGGTGGGGTCAAGGGCGCGGCATGGGCAGCACCGGATTTTGGAAGCAGGGCTGATGCAAAACGAGGGAGGAATCATCTCCCCAGGCCCCCCTCCATCCGTCACACCCGCACACGTGTCCCGCGCCCCGTGGAGCCGGCTCGGCCCCATCCATCTCCCGCTGTCAGCCGGGCCGTGGCCGCGGGGCCTGTATCGAGCGGGGAGATGAGGAGGTGCGAGAGGCAGAGCTGACAGCGGGGGGAGGATGGAGGGGGCTCAGCCCCCAGGCAGGAGTGGACCTGGCAGGGCTCCTCATCCACAGCTCCTGGATTCCCTGGGTGGAACTGGATGAGCTTTAAGGTCCCATCCAACCCAAGGATTCTCTGGTCAGCGTGAACGACCACAGGTGGATCTCCTGAACCCGCGCTGAAGTGTGCAATACACAAAATGGCTTTTCAAAATGAGCTCTTCTGGTCCAAAATGGGCAGGTGGAAACCAGAAAACCTTCAGAAAAGAGAAAACGCTGACTCTTTCCAACGGGGAATAATTGCCCCGGACACCAGGACAGGCTGGAGAGCAGCTGTGGAGGCCACCAAGGTGGAGATGAGCCATCAATGGGTCCTGGGTGCAAGGACACCCCCCGGCAGCCAGAGAAGAGCACTGGCAGCCAGTCAAATGACTTTTTGCAATGAACTTCTGACTCACAGGTGGAATGAGGAAGTAAGAGCTGCTTTGGGAGGGTGAGAAGGGGAATCGACCCGAGCAAAAGATTGTCTCACAAGGAACAGCAACCAGTCAGCACAGCTGGTGGGAAAAGGGAAGCGAGAAGGGAGGAAGCAGTAACACTCATTTGTCAACCAGACGTTTCTCAACATATTTTTGGGTCAGAGTCGGATCTTTATTTATTTTACCTATCAATTTTTAATTTTTTTTTTTTTTTAACCCTGAACAAGAAAAGAGGAAGAAAATTTCGGCAGGTAAAGTTATACCCTGGAAGTGTTCAAGGCCACATGTGGATGGAGCTTGGAGCAACCTGGGCTAGTGGAAGGTGTTCTTGCCCATGGCAAGGGTGTGGAACAAGATGAGCTTTAAGGTCCCTCCTAACCCAAACCATTCCAGGATCTAAGATCTGCTCTAGGGAATGTGTAGTACAAAAGAAAATGGATAATTGCAAAGATAAAGCAATAATTTCCTTAAGTATGTCCATTACTTAGAGTTAGTTTTTTTCCCTTCCCACATGTAATAAATAAAATATATATTATACAAAAATACAATTATATAATTAAATTATAATATAGAATTAGAGAAGAATAAAAAAAAATCTTTCAAATTCAAGTCTTCAGCAAAAATCCTTGATTTTGTGTTGCACTCCTCCCAGTCACGTGCATGTAAACAGCATTGCTCAGGCTCTGCAGGTATCAGTTCTGATGTGCCATGGGGACGCCATCCCTAAAATCCCAGAGAAACCTCGGGATGGATCCCAGGGCCCTTGGGGAAGGCTCATTCTGTTTTCAGGTGCCTCAGAGACCCTTTGGTGATTGGTCCCGTGGTGATGGTGTAAAACTTAAATCTTCCGGCCACGTTAGAGGGTGGAACAGGGAAAACTTCCTGATGTGGGCAAGACCAAAAGATGGAGCCTGTGGACTCCAGCTCAAGGACCTGTGAGTATCTTGGCTTGAGCTGTCATTATCCAGAGAGGGTGAAATTTTAATTGGTTTTGAGACAATTTTTCACTGGATGGGGAAAGTCATCCTTCCCAAGTTCCTGCAGAAACAGGAGCCTCTTCGTGAAGGTTTTTATGGGATATAAAAAAAATAACTCCGAGTTATTAAGGTCCTTCCTGAAGGCAAAACACACACTCCAGTACATCTGAGCCTTAATTTCTACCTCAAATTTTGGATGAATATTCCTGATATCAGCACACCTGGGAGGCACAAGGAAGTATAAATACTTGCACAATGCAAGTATAAATCGGATTAGAAGGAGATGGTTTTTCCTTGAAGATGCACATGGATGAAATTGCAATCAGGAGTGCTGGTCTTGTTTTAATTGATGCAAACTGATTGGAAATCACTTCAACAGGTCTGTTGCCAGTTCAATCCAGCACTAATTAACGTGGCAAATGAAGGCATGATGTTATTGTATTTTTTTGCCTCCACATAGGAACATACCCCTCCCACACACACAGTGTCATCCATTCCAGGGATGGGGCATCCAAAACTTCTCTGGCCCTGGCACAGGTTGCCCAGAGAAGCTGTGGCTGCCCCATCCCTGGAAGTGCCCAAGGCCAGGCCCGACAGGGCTTGGAGCAACCTGGGCTAGGGGAAGGTGTCCCTGCCCATCCAGGAACTGGATGATCCATAAGGTCCCTTCCAACCCAAACCATTGCAGGATTCCATATGTTATATTCAGATGCACCTGGTTCGTTTGATGGCTCCAGAACTCCCCCACCAGCCCATCTCCTCCTTGGCTCCCCCCATCCAGGCAAGGCTGATTTTCCATCCCAGCTGCAGTTTACTCATAATTCCTGCTTCCAGGTTTCAGGAGCGGAGTCATCTCAGCCTAGGACTCATCCTCTCTCCTTGTGGGCTTTGAATAAGTCACCACAGGTTCCCCTTATGGAGACAATGATATGTCTGGGGGCTTTGACTCATCTGATTTATTTCAAGCGTTTTTGTTTCAAAAAATGGCATGGATTTCTCCTCTTGCTGCGTGGTGGTGAAAGACTGGCAGGGTGACACAGCCACTTGAGACATGTGGGACTTATTCAGAGCAGACAAACTCCAGGCACAGGCTGAAGAGTCAGTTCGAGCCTGAAGGACTTAAATTCAGTTGGTAATTATCACCAGAGAAATGTAAAAATAATTTGCAGCAGGGGAATTCCTAAAGAGTTTTTCTTTCATCCCGATTAGCAGCTGTAACACTTCTCCAGATCCTGGTCTCTCTCCCAGTCCCTGAATCTCAGTTTCTTACATCAGTTCTTTTTAATTCCCTGTGATGCCAAGAGATCAATTATATATTCCAAGAGACAAATGTGCATACGTATAATTACATATATTTTTAGAAAAAAATTCTTATATATATTAAGAAATTATATATATATTTTCTTTATATATATAAAAATAATGTATTAAATTCTTTTCCTATAAAATTTGTATATATAAAATTGTATAAAATTTTTGTGTATATATGTATATACATATATACATACATACATACACACATATATATATATAAAAATAAAGAAGTAGGAAATAAATCATCCTGCTTCTATTTAGCTTCCTGAAAATCACTGAGTTTATTTAACTAACTGTATTTATTTATCAGTGCAGGTCTCTGCCTTAAGGAGCTGCTTCCAAAGCCATTCGTCAAGAGAGAAATTTCCTCCTCCAGGGGCAGGCAGTGACAAACCCCTTGGTCTTTCCATGAATGAAGATTATAAACAGCAGGTTTTTTTGCTCAAGTATTGATGCTTTTCATGAGGGGTAAATAATTCCTGCTTTCCACAAGGATACTGGGAGAAAATCGGATGAGGTGCTGGCACAGGTTTTGCCCAGAGAAGCTGTGGCTGCTCCATCCCTTGGAAGTGCCCGAGGCCAGGTTGGATGGGATGATCTCGGTCAGTCCTCAGGTGGCTCACTGAAAGGTCCTCTACTGCCTTTCCCAAAGATTTTACGGAATTTGAGTAGGAAAACAGGTGCCACAATGGAGATCCTCACCCCAGGAGGACAAGGATGAATACTCCTTTAGTTATTCAGCAGAGCACGGACCAACCACCTGCCTCTCGTCAGGGCAAAAAAATCTAATCCATACTTTTTGATTGAATTTATTTCCCTTCTATGTCTCAGATTCTTCACACAGAAGCAAAGTTTGTTTTGTTGAGTAAGAAAAAGTCAGGCTGAACTTCAGCTAATCAAGAAATCGAGGTCGGTTCTCCGACGGCGGCAGCAGATGTCGCATCCAGGCAGGTGGATGCTGCCCCCGGGGGAGGACTCAGCCCCAAAACCGCTCGATTTTTCATTATTCGTGACATCTCCGGTGCCGTGCCGGTG